AAAATAAACATCTCTAGGGATGCAGAAAAAGTATTTGATAAAACACAACATCCTTTATTGATGAAAACTTTAAAGAAGACTAGAATTGAAGGGAAATTCCTCAATATGATTCAAAGCATATATATGTCATTATTTTCTAGTCATTTTTCTTAATGAAGAAAAACTGAAATCTTTCCTATTGAAATTGGAAATGAGACAAGGGTGTCCACTTCTATTCAATGTTATGTTAGAAATGATAGGTAGAACAATAAGAGAAGAAAAAGAAATATAATATATCCAAATTGGAAAAGAAAAATTATGTCATTCATGGATGATATGACTCTATATACATAAAATCTCAGATCTACAAGAAAATTTCTAGACCCAATAGAAGAATTAGTGAAGTTGCAGGGGCCAAGGTCAATAAACAAAAATCACTTAAGTTTCTATATTCCAGCAATTAGAAATCTGAAAGGGAAATTAGGAAAACAATTCCATTTATGATAGCATCTAAGATAATAAAATACTGTGGTAATTAAATTTGTGTGTCAACTTGGCCAGGCCTGGTTGAATGGTTGGGTGGCAGGATGTAGTATTCCCCATGATGAGACTGGTAATCAACTCCATGGTGGAATCTACTGTGAGCCACTGAGTAGCCGCCTTAAGGATGTGGTCTGTTTCCTGTATATTAGGAGAAGCCTTGAGAATGGTCTCTAGCTTATGGCACACTTGAACTCTGCATGTAGCCCAATCACTCTTCAGCAACCAGCCATGCTCTGCCAATCTTGGGACTTTCAATGGACCTGAATCAATGGCCTCCTATATTGTTTGGCAATATCTGGACTGTGCCATTTTAATTGTTGACCTTGGGCTTATTAGACTTAGCAGCCAGTAGCTGCCAGAGTGAAGAGATGTCTCTAGCTTCAGTGGACCAGGAGCAAGAGGCAGAGCTGAAGCCCAAGGTCAAGGGGTTTTCACACAGGCCCTAGAGCCTGGCACTTGGAACTTGGAATTCTAGCCTCCAAAAATTGTAAGAATAAACTCCTGTTTGTTAAAGCCATCCCATTTGTGGTATCTTCTGTTAAAGCAGCACTAGGTAATCAAAACAAATACCTAGGAATAAATTTAACCAGGCATGTGAAGAATTTACACAATGACATTGATAAAACATTGCTGAAATAAAGACTTAAATAAATGGAAAGATGTTCCATATTTATGGATTAGAAGACTTAATATTGTTAGGAAGTCAATGTTACCCAAAGCCATCTTTAGGTTCAGTGCAATCCTGATAAAAATCCCAACAGTTTTCTTTACAGACATGTGAAAACCAATGTTCAACATTATATGGAGTATAAAGAGGCCCTGACTAGCTAATGTAATATTGAAAAGGAAGAACAATGTAAGGGGACTCACAGTTCCTGATTTTAAAATATATTATGTAGCTGTAGTAATCAAAACAGTTTGGTACTGGTATATTAATGAACACATAGATCAATATAATAGAATTGAGCATCCACACATCTATATATATTTTGAATGAAAGTGCTAAGTCTATTTGATGATGAAAGAAAAGTCTCTTCAATAATTGTTTGCAAAAAGGGTGTGTTGTCAGGTTCTGAACTCCTTTAATTTACAAAGGGAAGAGAGAATCACCATCAGCAGCATCAGCCCAAGACTGATGCCTATGAGGCAGAGGTCATACATGCCTCCACCCTCCAAGTTTTTTTTTTTTTAACCAATTTTGACACCACCATTTCTCCCTACTTCTCTGCTGCATTTGATAATTAATTGCAATTGCCACACAGAATTCACATGCAATATTCATGGCTATGGGTTTTATTAGGGGAGTAACAGGTTACAATTCAGGATCAAAAAACAACTTAAGACACTGTTCTTCAATCAGGACAGCTTCTTTTCAGTCATGCTGCAGGCACACTTCTCTCTAGCTTTGGCTTGTGCCTTGCTTAGGCCAGTGTAACAATTTTTTTTGTTTGTTTGTTTTGCTGATAGGCACTCAAATAGGCGTGCCACTCCACCAGCAAGCCTCCTGCCCAAAGGCACTCAGCTCTCTCAATCTGTGGGCTGAGAATCCTGCCATTTTGACTTATACTAATTTCTTGGTTCTGCTGCCTCTGCTGCCAAAATCTTTCTGCCATTTCTCTGCCATTGCAGCAAAGTGTTATAGCTCTCTCTCTCTCTCTTTCTGTCTCCTGGGCCAGGGAGGTCAGAGTCAGAGGACAACCTCTACTCTTTGTTCTTCTGTCTTGATGGTAGCAAAATCCCCCTTTTCTGACCCTGAGATGACTCATTTTAAACCTAGTGGAATGACAAAACTGACTAATCTCTATGTTACGGTTCCATACACATTATATGCATGGTCCCCCCCAAAAATAGTGTCATGTACTTTATTTACATTATTGATAAGCTATTCAATCCTCCTCATGGGCCACAAAGCACCTCACGTTTACATCGTTCCAACCAGTCATCTGGTGGGAGTCACAAAGACCATAGATGAAAGAGCCATATTAAGTAATTTTCTGCACCACATTGGTGTTGGGAAAATTGGAGTCCCACATGCAGAAAATTTAAACAGAATACATGCCCCATATCATACACAAAAAAAACAAATTCAAATAGATTAAGGACCTAAATGGTCAAATTAAAGCCATACATTTCTTACAAGAAATTGCAGGGGCAATGCTGTCAGGCATACTTTTGAACAATGGATTATCTAATATAATTACAAAAGCACAAACAGCTAAAGCAAAATAAATATATGGGACATCATAAAAATTAAGAACTCTTGTTCATCAAAAGACTTTACCAAAAATGTGAAAAGATTAGCTAGCAACTGGAAAAATGTCTTCTGAAACTGTATATATGATAATCATCTAATAACAAAATTATATGAAAAACTTTGAACAACTTGACAACAACAAAAAAGAAGACAAACAATCCAATCATTAAATAGGCAAAGCACTTGAATAGATATTTCACCAAAGAGGACATTCAAATGGCTACCAAACACATGAAAAGATGCTCAACATCATTGGTCATCAGAGGGCTGGAAATCAGTACCACATATCATTTTACTCCCACTAGTATGGCTAAGGGAGCTCTGGTAGCATAGTGCCTAAGGCACTTGACTGTTAACCAGAAGGCTGGTGGTTCAAACCCACCAGCCACTCCTCAGAAGGAAGATGGGGCAATCTAATTCTGTAGTGATACTGCCTCGGAAACCCAAGGAGGAGTCGCTATGAGTCGGGTCCAACTTGACAGCAAATAACAACAACAAGAAGTATGGCTAAGATAAAGCCAAACAAACAACACAAACAAAAACAAAAACAAAAGCAAAAACAAAAACAATGGTTGGCAAGGATGTGGGAAAGTTGGAGTCTCTATCCATTACTGATGAAAATGCAAAATTGTACAGTTTTTCCAGAAAACACTGTGGTATTCCTCAAAAAACTAAAAATAAAGCGACTATGTGATCCAGCAATTGCACTTTCGGTTATATATCCAAAAGAATTGAAAGCTGACAATCAAATAGAGACTTGCACACCAATATTCATTGCAGCACAATAACCACAAGGTAGAAACAGTCTAAATTCTCATCAACAGATGAATGGAACTGTTGATCCACTCATTTTGGAAACAAAATGTGGTACATACAAACAATGGATTACTACTCAGCCAGTAGGAGACATAGTCTTTATTCTTGCTATAATATGAATGGAGCGTGAAGAAATTATGCTGAATGAAATTAATAATCACAAAAGGATAAATACTGTATGATCTAATTCTCTGGTAGCATAGTGGCTAAGGCACTTGACTGCTAACCAAAAGGCTGGCAGTTCAAACCCACCAGCCACTCCTTGGATGGGAGATGGGGCAATCTACTTCTGTAGTGATACTGCCTCAGAAATCCAAGGAGGGGTCGCTATGAGTCGGGTGGGACTCAATGGCACACAACAACAACAACAATTTATATTAAGAAAAATACAAGACAAGGCCGAATATAGAGAAAAAAATTTATTAGTGGTTACTAAAGTCAGAAAGGAGTGGGAAAGTGGGATTATTGTTTATATTAAACTGAGTTTCAATTTACAGTGATGAAATAATTGCATTGATTAAGGGTAGAGTTGAACTACTGATTATTATAATTGCAGTCAATAAGTTGGACACCTATAAAAAGCTGAATTAACAAAAGTTGTGTGATAGACATATTTACAATAATAACAATAAAAGAGTAACTGCTGAGGCTTCTTACATACAACCAAATACCTGATGGAATTTGATTCCTTGGTCTGGGTCATGGTTTCATGGGACCTTCCAATATAATACCAATTACAATATGAAGGAAACAAAAAACAAAATAAACAAGAACAGATCAATGTGTAGGGACCAAAATTACAAGGCTGGAAGTTCAAACCCTCCAGCCACTCCTCAGAAGTAAGATTGGGCCGTCTACTTCTGTAGAGATACTGCCTCGGAAACCCAAGGAGGGGTCGCTCTGAGTCCAATCAACTCTACAGCAGTGAGTTTGGTTTTTGGTTTAGGGGCAGGGAGGTTTCATCGACAATACTCTTTGATCTCTTGGAGAATGGAGATTCAGTGAGGGGCCTTAAGTGTAATTAGATGAATGAGAACAAACATTGATCGCATGATTTTAAAAATAAGAAACATCAATCATGGGATTATTTCTAGAATTGCACTGAAATTAATCAAAGAGATGGAGATCATTTTAATATCAGCATCAAAATCCATGAAATTTCACAAAAGATTAATGATAAATAATAATAAGGTTGTACTTAACTGAAGATACCACTATGGCACTAAGAACAGCTCCATCTCAACAGGCAAATGCTGGTTGTACCTGAGCTCTAATACTTTCCTTCTCTTTCATGATGTTATGTTTCCACTAGTATAATAAGAACATCTTAGAATTTGAGTTGACTGGCTATTCTCAAAAGTGAAGATGGAAATTTCTGAGAAGGACACTGTGGAAACAAGGCATGTCCTCAGTTGCAATACCTTCCCATTCTCTTCCTCAGGGCCCCAACAACTTCTTTATTCCTCAGGCTGTAGATAAGTGGGTTGAGCATGGGGATCACTATGGTGCCAAGCATAGCTCCTATCTGGTCTTGTTCGGGTGTATGTGAAGAGCTGGGTGTCATGTAGATGAAGATAGCCTGACCAAAGTACAGACTGACCACAGTTAGGTGGGAAGAGCAGGTGGCCAGGGCTTTGTTTTTTCCCTTGCAGGAGTTCATCCTGAGGACAGTGAGGAAGATGAGGGTGTAGGAGGACAAGATGAGAACAAATGGGATCAGAAGGAACACAATAGTTGACACAAATTTCACCATCTCGTAGGCTGATGTGTCCACACAAGACAGTCTCAAGATAGCAGGCATCTCACAAAAATAATGATTAATTTCCCTGGAGCCACAGATAGGGAAATGCATTGGGTAGATGGTATGGACAAGGGCGGCCAGAGCAGCCCCAATCCAGACTACAGCAGCCATCTGTAGACAGACCCTGGGACTCATGAGGATTGCATATCTCAGGGGGTTACAGACAGCCACATAGCGGTCATAAGCCATGAGGGTCAGGAGGATGCACTCAGCAAGGCCAAGGGTAAGAAAGAAAAACAACTGAGCTGCACAGGCAAAATAGGAAATGTTCTTCTTTCCTGTGAAGTAGTTGGTTACTGTCTTGGGGACAGTACTAGTGATATAAGATAGGTCAATGAGGGAGAGCTGGCTAAGCAAGAAGTACATGGGGGTGTGGAGGCGGGTGTCCAGCCAGATGAGGAGGATCAAGAGGGCATTTCCAGCAAAGGCAATGGTGTAGATGAGGAGGATGGTAAGGATGAGGAGGTGGGGATGTCTGAACCCAGGGAAGAGCCCTAGGAGGATGAAGTCATTTGAGGTTTCATTATTTTGTTCCATGTTTTCATTCAAATGCTCTATTTGAACTGAAAATTTACAGAGGCAAAATAATAGGAGATACAATGCTTTGTTACAATATTTTTATCTCAGTCAGCATCATCTTCTATGGCATCTATGGCTACATTATTTTTTAATAACAAAAGAGAACAGTACATTTTAATTAAAAACATATATATTTTTTTCAATCAAAAGCAAAACACCAGTATTAGAAATCAAGAAGGTTGATCTACAGTTGATCAGACTTTGGAAAATGAATATTTAGTCTTTTGTTGATAAACTTTAAGTTGATCATCCTTTTTCACATACATTTTTTATTTGCCCTAGATTGTTGGAATTTTTGAATCTGGCATATTGTAGATTTTTTCCAATGTCTTATTCTACCCCTGCAGCCCTAGAGAATCTCTTTAGCTTCCTTGAGCCCCTTTCATAGCCATACTAAGAAATTTTAATTGTCAACCAATTAAATTGTCAATTTCTTCTGACCTCTATAATTGACATTTTATTTGGTCTCTCTTTTTTATTCTCCTATTCTAGTTTTCTAGTTTCTCTTTGTATTTGACTAATCTGCTTACTCAATTAACAACCTATAATAAGAGCTGTCTTGTCTCTGACTCTAAATCTTTCTGTTACTATTCATTGCCCATAAAAGCTTGTTCAAAATATTTTTAAGGTGTTGATTTTTAGAGTTCTGCAAAGTAATTTTAAAATCTCATGTCTGCATGGGGGTTGTCCCAAAGCCAAATATATCTTTTTTTTTTTCCCTCTGATTACAGATGAGATTCTCAAATATTCAACTGTATTGTCGGTGAATTTATTTCTTTTGTGTGCCCTGAGGATTCATATGAAATGTCTTTGATCATTTTAGGCAATAACAACCTGAAATTCTGCTTTCATTACAATAATATCTTAAAAGATTTCATATTATAGACAATATTATAAACTTATGCCTTCCTTTATACTAGATAAAGATGTTAAAACATAGTATAACATCCAGTAATCAACAGAAAATGAACACAGTACTTAATGTCATACTTCAGTGTAGAATCACTATAAGCATATGGCAGTACTTGGGTCATGGAGAATTTTGTTTCCTTAGTTTACCAGAGAATCTGGGCTCCATTTTTTAGAGCCTTCTCCATCATGATATTTCTCTGTCTTCCTGACCTTTTGATATGTAATTGCTTCCCCTACATAGATATTCATGTATCTTTCTTAGGAGTGAATAATGTGGGAAATTCCTTGAAAATGATGCATTGTAAATCACAATTATCACATGTAAAATATGAGATGATGTCCCCAAGATTTTTAAAAAACCATGGTGATTCAATTAATTTAGAGTAGAAATGAGAAATAGAGACAAACTTGAAAGTAGCAAGCTCTGGGAATGGTAAAACAAATGCCAGGCACCTAACTGATGACCAATTATTTTTGTCTCTATGTGCACATGTCTGCTCCTTCTAAGCATCAAGTGATCATTTCTCAGACAAGGAAATCAAGACCTAAACATGTGATATTTTGTATCTTAAAAAATAATATTTTGTATTAATCACTTACACTATTATGTTCTTTTGGATCTAGAGATATGGTATAAAAGCAATTCTTATACTTTAAGAAGATTTTGGTTCTATCAATAACTATTTTTATCATCTTAAAAGTCAATTAGCAGTTGTTCTTATATATTTTCTTTTAATTAATAAAAAAGGAGCTTGACTTACTAAGTCTATAAAGAATTTTCTTGTCTTCTTTAAAATTATATTAATTCAGTAAGTATTGGTATAACCATTGGGAGCATATTATATTGAAGTAGTGATTCAGTACCAAACTATGCAATTTACTGGGTAAAGACTAAATCTTAACTAAGTAACACACAAACACTGTATTAAAAAACTCTTGCAAAATATTTTCTATCAAAATTGAAATGTTTTTTCTTAAAATGGTTAATACCTAGACCTGGGTTTACTCCAGAAATAAAGAAAAAGGAAGTTGAACTCTATGGAATAGATCAACTACAAATGGAAGCATTCTTTTTATTCCTTTCTGAGAAAGTCAATTTTTTTTTGTCAATAATTCAATGAACCCAACTTTGTTTATTGCATAAGATCTGAATCTAACTGTTTAATAAACAAAAATATGAGTCTTATTATTATCAAGAATGCAGAGGATAGCTGCTGTTGAAGAATATGGGCATATTGCTCCCATCTGTAACTCTCTGCTGTTCTAAATGCCCTTAAATTCTTATAGAAAATGATGGCTAAGAAGAGGAGCACATTATCTGCCATGCAGTATCTAGTCAGTGCTTCTCTTAACCCAAACTATGCTAACTCCAACAAATCATCTGCAGAAAGAATTGTCTCCCTTAGGAGCTCTGGTAGCATAGTGGCTAAGACACTTGCCTGCTAACCAGAAGGCTGGCGGTTCAAACCCACCAGCCACTCCTTGGAAGGAAGGTTGGGCAATCCTACTTCCGTAGTGATACTGCCTCGGAAACCCAAGGAGGGGTTGCTATGAGTCGGGGCCGACTCGACGGCACATAACAACAACAACATAACAATAGAAGTATAACAGAAGCAGTATTAACAATAATAATTATAGGATCAATCATTAACCCTTATTGAGAACTTACCAACAGCCAGAGTGCTTTGCATACATTAATCATAGACTATTCATATAGACCTTAAATGTATCTTGTCAGAGATGGACACAGAGCGTGCCATCATTGTGTCCACTGTCAGGCAATAATTGAGGAAATACTAAGACCCAAGCCGTTGCCTTGAGTGTTTTTCTCCATAAGGGCACTGTTTTAACTCTCCAGTCATTTATATATTTATCTATTTTTGTTAGCTGCTGTAGAGTCCCTGACTCATAGTGAACCCATGAACAAGGGAACAAAAAGCGGCTGGATCCTGTGTCACAGGATCAATTGTGGATATGACCATTGTGAGCAATAGGTGGTCCAAAAACTGGGTTTTAGAATTAGGTTAACAGGTCTTTTAGAATTAGATTAACGGGTCTTTCCATCTTAGTCTGGAAACTTTTTTTTAACACAGCAACACACAAACTTCCACTAACAGATGGTGGCTGTACATGAAGCGAATTGATGGGCAGTCAAACCCAAATCTCCTATGTGGAAGACAGGAATTCTACCACTGAATACCTCCCACGACATTTTCATCTAAACCAATACAAATCATTTTTAACTTCCCACATCTTCCAATTGTTCAAGAAATGTATTTCATATGTTTGTGACTTACTGTGAGAAACAGATTTCCTTTTCATGTGGGGCAGATTTACCCACTTTTGCTTTTTAAATGTTTCCACTCCAACCTTGTGGCTTTGGGACTTGGTGAACCAACAGAGTTAACTTCCTGCATGGAAAACAATTGTTTATTAATAGGTAAAGCAATGTTTTCTTCCCCTTCTCCAATTCCCCAGCTACTGCTGTCTGGTGAACCTCCAGTAGCTGCAGCCATTCTCTACTGTCCTATGGCTCCTAGGTATTGCATTAATCATTTCTTGCCTCAAAATAGATTATATTTGACATTTCATGGTCCCTGAAATTGATTTAATTGTTTTTATGCTCCACACCTGGCTCAGGTATGAAACCAGCGTGTGAGGGCTCAGTGTCAGCTTCTGGATCAGTCCTTCCATAGTTTCTACTGATGTACCACAGAACCAGGGAACCCTTGGGAATTTCCTCATGGGAGTCTGTCCCCAGACTGAAATTAACTATAGACCCAGAAGTGCAGGGCTCCTGGAAACTGCTCAAGGAAAATAATCACTGCCCAGTATTTTATGTTATCCATTTGTAAAATAAGATAATTGATTTTGAAGAGTCATCTTTATTGATATAATTTATATACAGTAAAATTTACATTTTAAAAGAATACATGTTGATGAGTTTCCATAAATATATATGTATATGTGTAATCAATCAAGGCACAGAACATTTCCATCACTCATAAAGGTTCTCTCTTTTTTTTTATTATATATATATATATATATATATATATATATATATACACACACACACACACACACATATACATATATATGTAACCACAATAAATATATATGTATATGCACTGACACTGATTACTTTCATCACATTATGAAACCATTATCACTATTCATTTGCAAATTATTCTACTACCATTAACAGAGACTCAGTACTCTCTAAGTTATGACTTCTGCTCTCCCCCTCCCTCTGACTCCTAGTAACCACTCTAATAGCCTTTGGTCTCTGTAAATTTGTTTATTTTGTATAAGTGGGACTACAGTATTTGTACTTTTTGATGATTGACTTTATTCACTTAATTTCAAGGTTCATCCATGTTGAAGTATGAATCAGGACTTCATTTCTCTTTATGACTGGGAAGTATTTCACTGTATGTATACCACATTTTGTTTATTCATTCTTCTGTTGATTGACAGGTTGTTTCCATCTTTGGGCTATTGTGAATATGCTGCATTGAAAATTGATGTACAGTTTTCTGTTTGTATTTCTGCTTTCAACTCTTTTGGGTATACACCTAGAAGTAGATTCTACAGTAATTCTAGGTTTATCTTTTTGAGGAACTGCCAAATTGTTTTCTTTAAGGCTGTGCCATTTTGCATTCCCATCAGGAATTTATTTGGGTTCCAATTTCTCCACATCCTTGTTAACTTGTTATTTTCCTTTTTTTTTTTTTTTTTTGGTCACAGCCATTCTAGTAGGGGGTGAAGTGGTATCTCATTATGCTTATGATTTCTATTTTCCTAATTACTAATGAGGTCCCTAAGTGATATAGTTTATGGTTAACTGTTACTCTAAAGGTTGACAGTTTGAACCCACTCAGCAATGTCTCAGAAGGAAAACCTGGGAATATGCTTCTATAAAGATCACAGTCAAGAAAACCTTATGGGGCAGCTTTTGTATGCAACATGTGGGGTCTCCATGAATCAAAATTAACCTGACAGCAATGGGATTGATTTTTTGGTTTAATGACTAATGAAGTTAAGCA